CCTGCTGCACCCCCATGTGCCCCTAAGCATCCCGCATCGTCCTGCTCCCCCTGGCCTGCCCCCCATTCCTTCCCTGCACCCCCTGACACCAGCTTCTCGCCTTCCCTGCTCGCACCCCCCCACATCCCCCTGGACCTCCAACTGCTGGCTAAACTTGACCACTGCATTCCCCTGCCCCATACACCCTTCTTCCCCCGTAACACCCTTCCCTGCCTTGTTGCCCCCCGTTCCTCCCTACTAGCCCCCTACACCCCACCTAGCTCTACCCTGCAGCTCACCCCTCGCCCCACGCCTGGGCATCACAGCTTGCCCTGGCGCTGCATTTGGGACAGAAACATGCTCTTTGGGGGACGATGAAAGGATGGCGTGGGGGCTACACCCCATCCTGCCCCTGTACCCCAGTGAGGGGGACTTCTCCTGTGATGGCAACGTCCCAGGACTCGCACTGGAGAGACCTTTGTCCCATCCTGCTTTGGTTTCTGTGACGACCGAGCTTGCCAGCGGACTTTGGAGGGGCCGGTGGGTGATTAACCATCTTCCCGCTCTTCGACCTTTGCAGCCCCGGTCCCCAGCCTGACATGGCACCCGGGAAGCCCGGGAAGAGCACGGGGGCTTCAGAGGACCCCTCGGTTACGCTTTTCCGGGAGTACCTGAGGATCGACACTGTCCACCCCAAACCTGACTATGGTGAGGATGGTGGGGATGGGATGGGAAGCAGTGCGGGGATTCGGCAACGCGGCTTTGCAGCTCTGGTCTTTGGACCCGGGTGCCCGAGTCCTCGGCGGGGACTGTTTTGATCGTGGTGTTAAGGAGCGGACACGTTTGTGCCTTATCTCTGCTGACACCTTTGGTTGGGGCAGGGACACCTCGAGTGCACCCAGAGCTGCCGTTTGCTTCCTCCAGCCCCGTGCCCCAAGGCCCCCCCTTTCCACACTGCCCGGGCTCTGGGACAGATGCTTTGTGGTAACCTTGTGTAGATCTCCTTCCGTTAACGTGTCTATCCTCCCACTAAAGTACATCGAGATTTTTTCCATTGGTGAGAACCTCCCAGAACTCCTACGGAGGACTGTCCCCCCTGAACTCACCCCCTTCAATTTTTATTTTTTTGCATTCCCCTAGTCCTCGCTCCAAAGGGACGGTGACAAGCTACTGCTGTCCCTACTTCTGGCCACCTCTTGTGCCCAGGACTGCCATCACCTACCCTCTCTGGTCAGCTCTTTCCTTGGCCTGGGAGCCCCGGAGAGCCTTGGGGTGCTTGGGGTGGTGGTGGTGGTGGTTGTGGCAAGAAGGGAGGGAGAGCCTGACATAACTCCAGGCATCCCCGCTCCTCCCCAGATGCGGCCGTCCGGTTTCTGGAGCGCATCGGCACCGACCTGGGCTTGGCTTGCCAGAAAGTGGAGGTGAGCGAGGCAAGGAGCAGTCCCCGGTCCGTCCATCCATCCATCCATCCATCCATCCATCCATCCCTCCCCAGGTCCTTAGTGACTGGGCTGTTCCCCTGCCCGCTGCCCTGGAGACGGGCAGGAGTGAATCCCCTCTGCCTGTAATCCTCTGCTAACCTCAGCCCTTTCCTTTAAGCCTCTATTCGGGCTGGTCCCCGCTGACCTTTGCAGCCGCCTGTGCTATGATTAGCCGGGGACCTGGCAGGGTCACGTTGGCTGGGGACGTCCCTCCTGCTGGGCACCCACTGTCCCAGGGGACTCCCGGGCACCAGGGGGAAGACGCTGGGTTCCTCTCCCCTCCTCCATCTGAATCGCAGCCAGGAGCTCGCACCAGCGCCCAGGCTCCGTCTGGCTGCGGGAGGGGGCAGGCATGCCTGCTCCTGCTGCCTGCCCTCTCCCAGCGGAGTAAGGGGTGACCTGCCAAGTGGCATCAAGAAACTTTTCCCAGGTTGATGCTTTTTGGCTCCAGCCTGCCGGTCCCCAGCCGGGACCCCCGGTGATGTCCTGCCCTCGTCCCGCAGGTTTGCCAAGGCTGCGTGGTGCTGATCCTGACGTGGCAGGGCACGAACCCCCGCCTGCGCTCCGTCCTCCTCAACTCCCACACCGACGTCGTGCCTGTCTTCGAGGTGCTGGGATGGGGCAAGGGGTGGGATGGGGCACGGTGGGGAGGACTGGGGGTGGCGGGGGAAGGAGAGGTGGTGCCCGCCCGTGCCCCTCTGCCATCATGGCCGCTGTTCCTTGCCGGGGCCCAGGCAACATCTACGCCCGGGGTGCCCAGGACATGAAGTGCGTCTCCATCCAGTGAGTGGAGGGCTCTGCACCCGCTGGGCGGGCACGGCACGGCGATGCCTCTGAGCGATGCAGGACAGGATGCCACCATCCCCAGGGTCCCTAGGGATGAGGGTGCCGCCACCTGACCCCCCCCTGTGGTGGCTCAGAGCACACCAGCCACTCTCTTCCATGGCACCACCTTCTCCCCGCAGGTACCTCGAGGCCATCCGGAGGCTGAAGGCAGAGGGAAAGTGTTTTGCCCGCACCATCCACCTCACCTTTGTGCCTGGTGAGTCTCCAGGGTGTCCCCTCTCTGGGGGACAGGAGCTGGGTGATGCTCTGGAGTTCCCTATGGCATGACAGCTGGGCACCCGGCTGCCAGCCTTTCCAAATTTTGAGCTCCCCTAGCTCGGGGCTGGAGGGGTTTCCATGTCCAAGGACATCAGGTGCACCGGTGGCACTCAGGCTGGCAGGGAAGGAGGACCAGGGGGTGGTGGGCCAGGGGACGCCCCGGTTTTTCTTCCATGCTGGGCTCTCCCCCACAGACGAGGAGATGGGTGGACACAAGGGCATGGAGATGTTCGTGCAGCGCCCCGAGTTCAGAGCGCTCAACGTGGGCTTTGCCCTGGACGAGGGTGAGTGGTGGCAGGGCTGGTACGGGGACCTGTCTCCTCTTGGCACGCACCCCTCTGCCTGTTGGCATCACCCCCCAGGCACTGGCACCTATCACGGCTTCCAGGGACCCCTCTGGGGGCTCCTTCCCCCAGGCAGTGACCCACATGGTGCCAGCCTGGAGGGGAAATGCTGCCAGGGCAGAGCAGAGGGGGGCACGTCGTGGCGTCCCTATGCCCCGCTGACCCCCCCCGTCTGTGCCCACCGCAGGCCTGGCCAGCCCATCCGACACCTTCAGTGTCTTCTACGGTGAAAAGAGCCCGTGGTGTGAGTAACTGCATGTCCACCGCCCTGTCCCTGGCTGTGCCGGGTGCTGCGGCACCGGTGCCACCGCGGGCTTTCTGCTCAATGTCCCCCTTCTCCCCCCACTGCCACAGGGATAAAGGTGAAGTGCGTGGGCAGCCCCGGGCACGGGTCCCGCTTCATCAGCAACACGGCGGCCGAGAAGTTGGTAAGAGAGGGGGTACACCCTGTGCAGCCCCCCCCTGCCCACCCCTGGAGCTGCCAGGTGCCACCCCGCAGGGCTGGTCCTCACCCCGCTGCCCTTCCCTCCCCAGCACAAAGTCATCAACTCCTTCCTGGCCTTCAGGGAGAGCGAGAAGCAGAGGTAGGAGACGGGCAGCGGGATGGTGGTGGCTTCATTTTGGTCCATGGAGGGGGTCCTTGGGATGCCAAGCCAGGCTCTGATCCGGCACCACCGCCCCGTGCCTCAGTTTCCCCATTTGGGGGTGGCAGCGGGGCGGGGGAGCACTTCCCCTCCTTCCCGTGTGGCGGAGGGTGACTCTCCCTTGCGTCCTCCGAGGCTCAAGTCCGACTCAAGCCTGACCCTAGGGGATGTCACCTCACTTAACCTGACCATGCTGGAGGGGGGCGTCTCCTTCAACGTGGTGCCGTCCGAGATGGCGGCCGGCTTCGACATCCGCATCCCACCCACCGTGGACCTGAAGGTGGGTGCCACACCGGCCCCAGCCAGGAGGGGAGCGTGTTGGGGGGTACCCGGCTCATACCCCTCCTCTGGTCTCTGCTGCAGGCCTTTGAGGAGCAGGGTGCTGCGTGGTGCCGGGGTGCCGGGGACGGTGTCACCTATGAGTTTATCCAGGTGAGGGGTCTCGGCCACCTGGGCATATCGTGCCCGTCCCTCCCCTGCCATGTGCCCACCGCTCTGCCCCTCACCTGCCCTCTCCCTCCGTCAGAAATACATGGACCAACACGTCACCTCCACCGAGGAGTCGGACCCGTGGTGGAAAGCCTTCAGTGGGGTCTGCAGGGACATGTGAGTAGTGTCCCCAGGAAGGGCAGGACCCTGGTGGAGACATCCTCTGGTGGGAGCCAGAGGGTCCCTGGGGGTCTCTGGAGTCATGGCAGGGGTTGGGAGGAGATGCTCTATACCATGCCAGGGCATCTCCCTGTGCCCCCACAAAGGGATGGGATTGAGTGTCCTGCAGGGCTCAGGGACCTTCCTGGGGTGGTCCCTTTGCCCGTGGGGTGGCAGGGGGACAGAGGACCTGGCTGCCGCCGTGCCCATGCTGACGCAGGGTCCTGC